ATAGAACCATTTCAAGAGGGTACTGTTCAACTGCTTCTTTAAAGGCTTTCTCGTTACTTCATGTCTAAATATTCAGCTTGTCCAAATCGAGAGAGCTTTTGCTTTTGATATGAGGGCATTGGATGACTCCTGTAGCGAGATTTTCCTTAATTAAGCCACCAGTCATTGACTTTGCTGCTTCATACAAGTTTATTACTATCTCTTAATCTCTATCAACATGCGAGTTAAATCTGTTTTGATTTACTATGATATTTTGAGCCTTTATTTTGATAACTGGAGCAGCTGCTGTGCCTCCCTCAAATGCAAATAAAGAAGAAGCTATTTCAATTTTGGATCCAGATACAATTACAGAATTTGTAGCAGGCACTCGATGATCATGACGGTGATATTCCCCAGTCACATAATTATTTTCATCATACCATTAGGTCCTTGAATGATTGATTACACCTGAGCTAATTCCTGAGTATTCTCTGTTATTAAGCTTAATGTTTTATCCTGCAGATACTACCCCTAGATGGTTTATAAGCTGTTCAAAAACTAGATTAATGTCACCTAAAGAACTCAAAGTTGGTGGGTCGCTGCATTCCAGTCTATACCTTAAGTTGTGGTAATGACCACCGCCAATTGCAGGAAAGATTCTTTGCTCAGCCCTGTCGAGTTTAATTTCTTTCACATTTGCATTTATTGATTTACTGCCGTATACATTGCCACAAAGATTATAGAGCATATCACCTTGAATTGTTAGGTTACCCTGAGTCATGATTTCGCCGTATTCGTTTTTAATTTGTTTGCACTCTATACCAAGGTCAGAAGAACTTATAATTCCTGAGCCGTTAAGATAGCAGTGCTAATAAGCGCCTTCTTAATAACGACAAGCCCCCGAGGAAGAATTTATATTTCCATTCGGGAATAATGGTGCCCTCCATTGATGCATGAGAGCTCCATTCAAAAGTGCTTCAGATTTGATACTTAGAGTGTCATTCGAGGCTATTACTCCAAATCTATTATCAATAGTTTGAGCATCTATTGTGAGTTTTCCATTGACTTGCAAAGTTGCTTACCTATCATTATCAAGCCCATTAATCATCTTGACTAATCTCAGATTCAAATTCCTAAAAAGAACCCATTAGCCATAATTGGCAAACTCTTGGACTTCTAAAACTATAGATCTCTGTGTTTCAAAGGTAATTCCTAGAGGGATTTCAACTCTCTTGGCATAAACTATATAAGAGCCACCGTATTCAATGTTATTAATTGTTTGATTTATCTACTCAGGGGTTATACATAAGTCCCTCCATCTATAATCTTCAACGTTTTTCAATGTCCTTAGTCCCATGGGCATAGCTTCATCATTAATAATTATATCATCGCTACATTCTATTTTTCCTTCTTGTCTAAATGACTGAATTGGGACAAAATCAGGCTAAGTACTACGGGTGATTACTTTTGATAAGTTCCAGGTTGATCCTAGTAGGGTGATAGTTCCTGTGTTCTTAAGATCTTATATTGTGTAGAACCCGTGCTCAGTTACGAAATCACTTTCATTAAGAAAGTCATTGATTACCCATGTATCTCCTTATGAACTCTGAGCAAGTCCTTTGTTAATAAATGATTCCATGATTTTAAGAGATGAAATGTCGTCAACTAATAGCTTAGATCCTTCTTAATTCAATAAGTTGCGGGAAATTAGGTCGCTTCTAGAAATCATCATATCGTTGCTGTTGGTGATTTAAATAGACTACAAATTTGAATTTAAGATATTCAGTGTCCCTTCATTAAGTATGTGCTTGATTTCACATAAGTACGTGATGCTCTTTATTTCTAACTAGCCCTCATTTTGAATTTTGTGGGCTTCTACTCTTCCAATATCCATAGTTTTATCAAGTTCTTCAATAGAAAGCCTATTCTTATTAATTATTTCTCCACAATAGAGAGCCTGTAAGGAAATTAAGCCCTCATTGAGAAGACTTGCTCCGTCCACAACTAAAGTTTTTGTCGTGATTTCAGACGGCTTTTTAATCAAGATCTAGTCAAACTCTGAGGTGAGCTTTAGGTACTGAGTTTCAATTTTAGCATGAACTTCGATTTCTTTGGCTGTAATAACTAACGATTATATCTTAATATTTCCAAGCACTAGCTTAAATGAGGGACAATAAATATCAATCTGGTTGATCTTGTCTGACGAGCCAGATAAGTAATAAGAATTTTGCCCTTAAACCTTATAAATATTAAAGAGATGGGAACTATCAAAGTCTAAAATGGAGTACTCTTATCACTCTTGTGTGGCTACACAATTCACAGCGAGAGGTGAATCGTTAACACTGCATTTAATGCCGAGTCTGTCAATAGTTATTTTCATTTCCATTGTGCAAAGATATTTTATTTATTAGATACTAAACTATTAAATACTAAATAACTGTACAATCATGGATTTTGGGGTTTTGGGGTTTTGGGG